TGGTAAAGGACTATGACTGTGAGATCAACTACCATCCGGGTAAGGCGAACGTGGTGGCCGATGCACTCAGTAGGAGGGCAACGAGCATGGCACCTTCGACAGTGCCTCGTAGACCAGTAGTAGACGAGTTGGATCGTTCTGAGGTGGAGTTAGCGGTGGAAGATGTCTCGGCAGTGTTAGCTCACTCTCGGTTGAACCCGTTTTAAGACAGCGGGTCATCACTGCACAGAGGGGAAATCCCAGCCTGAGCAAGAGTTTCAGTATGGTGGGTCAAGGGGATTTTTCTCTTTCAGGAGATTCGGCCCTACTTTATCAGGGGAGACTGTGTGTGCCAAGAGACTTCTCTTTAAGGAAGGATTTATTAACCAAGGCTCATAGTACCCCGTTCTCGGTGCATCCTGGGAGTACCAAAATATATAGGGATCTTAAGAAGCACTATTGGTAGCACAACATGAAGCGCAAAATTGCCCAGTTTGTTAGTAGATGTCTGACCTGTCAACAGGTGAAAGCCTCAAGACAGAGACCTGCCGGGTTGTTGCAACCTCTAAGTATACCTGTGTGGAAATGGGATGACGTAGCCATGGACTTCATTATAGGGTTGCCGAGGACGGCTAAAGGTTTCAMAGTGATCTGGGTGATTGTGGATCGCTTAACAAAGTCTGCGCATTTCATACCAGGCAAGGCCACTTTTTCAGTAGAAAGGTGGGTGGAATTGTATCTGCAAGAGATAGTTAGACTCCATGGCATACCAGCGTCCCTCGTGTCAGATCAGGACCCCCGTTTCACATCAACTTTGTGGCGAAGTTTGCATAAAGCACTTGGGACACAACTCAATTTTAGTACGGCGTTCCATCCTCAGACCGATGGCCAGACTGAGCGTCTGAATCAGATTTTGGAGGATATGTTGAGGGCTTGCATACTGGACTTCGGTGGTTCTTGGAACAAATACTTGTTCTTAGCAGAGTTTGCCTACAACAACAGTTATCAGGCGACCATTGCCATGGCCCCATATGAAGCTTTGTATGGGAGGAAGTATAGGTCACCGGTGCATTGGGACGAGGTCGGTGAGAGGGTCCTGTTGGGACCGGAGTTGGTGCAGGAGACTAATGGCGCGATCTAAGGGATTAGGGCAAGTATGCAGACGGCTCAGAGCAGACGAAGAGTTACGCTGATGTTAGGCGAAGGGCATTGAAGTTTGACGTTGGCGACCACGTTTTTCTTGGTGTGGCACCGGTGAAGGGAGTCCTACGTTTTGGTAAGAAGGGAAAACTCAGTCCAAGATTTATTGGTCCTTTTAAGATCTTGGAGCGCATTGGCCCAGTCGCTTACCGGTTGGCTTTCCCACCGTCGTTGAGTGCAGTGCATAACATGTTCCACGTGTCCATGCTGAGGAAGTATGTCCATGACCGTTCACACGTCTTGGATTATGAACCACTGCAGGTAGATGAAATCTTGTGCTATCTGGAGGTACCCATTGAGATCGTAGCAAGAGAGACCAAGGTACTGCGGAATCGGGCGATTGACTTGGTGAAGGTCTTGTGGAGGAATCAACAAGTGGAGGAAGCTACCTGAGAAAGGGAAGACGAGATTAGAGCCCGATACCCTGAATTATTCGAACAACGAACTTTCGAGGACGAAAGTTTATAAAGGGGGAAGTCTGTAACGCCCCGCGTTACTCAGGTTAGGTTACCCTCGAGTCTCGGGGCCTCTTGTCTTAGAAATTTTTTTTATTTAATTTAATTATTCCATTTCATTTTATTTCGAGCTGCGGCGGTAATTGTTATGAGTGTTGACGTGTACGTACGTATCTAATTATTGTTTAACGAGGAAATTGTTTTCTCTGGCAATTGTCCTGGGTCGTTGGGCCCAAATTAAGTATCTAGGTAAGTGGGCGTTCCTTGTTTTAAAACAAGAGGGAAGTAAGGGAAAAGAAAAACCCTAGCCCAAGTGAGTCCCTTCTTTGTAAAAACAAAAGAAAAGTAAGGAGAAAACCCTAGCCCCCCAAACACATCCCATTCGTGAAACACCTCCCCCCCCCGTTTTAGTGTTCGTATTTTCTTCTATCG